AAAAAAAAAAAAAAAAAAGAAAAGCCTTAACTACACAGTGAAACCCTGCCTCAAAATAATAAAATTAAAAAGAGTTAATGAGTTATATGCTATATTGACTGTGCAAGTAGTGGGGTTTTAGAAAAAGTAAATTTTTATATGATTGCTATTTGAAGTTTTTCTATCTTATTTGTAAATTTGTTTTGTTATATCTATTCTGAACTTAGGGTTATACATTTAATTACATAATATTGGAGTAATTTGAGTAAGCAGCAGAGTCAGTCAGTCAGAGTCAGTTCTTTTCACACTGTCAAGATTTCACTGGTTTGGGATAACTGTTTCACATCAAACCTCATGCTTATTGCTGAAATCATGTCACAACCAGAACACTTGTGACAATTTATCTTACTGCTGCCTGGCTCTGATGATTAGAGATTTCCATTTCAATGATTAGAAATATTTTTTATTGTTTTTGAAATTACATTTTCTATAAGTTTCAACCATTTGATGACAGTTGTGCTTAAGAACAAATTGAATCTGGTCTTTGTTACATGTTCAATTGCAGGAGGGTAATCATGTTTTTCTTTAACTTGTACTGCTAAACTTTCACCTGTATCATTTTTTCTTCAACAAATACATTTGAGAACTTACCTTGGGCTAAATATTGTGAATTAGTTAATTTTTCTTTCCAATATTAAATAGCTCCATACCTTTCAACCTTTTTCTTCTGAGTCCTCAGTATTATCCTAATTTGCACCTATTTTGATGATGTCCTTCTTAAAATGTGGCACTTATAAATATATAGAAAATAGAGACTTTCTTTCAATGTCATCTGTATTAAACAATAAGGAATTATTAAACTTAGCAATGTATTAGGCTGAGGGGAAAGCTACAAAATTATATGGCATACTATTCTTGGATTCAAAGAGTTTTACATTTAATTGGAAATGAAGATTACAAGTTTAGATTACATTAAATAACAAATGTAAGCCTTCTAGGAACTCAGAGTGTTCAGAAATCTGTGTTCTGGAAGTATCAAGGTTCTAACTAGTGGTGGGTCTTGAAAACTACATTGGCTCTGAATATATAGAGTGTATGCAAGCACTATACCACTTTGTCCAAAATAGCAGAAGTACTGGTAGTGTCAGAAATGAAACTCAGATTTTTTGGGGGGTCCAAACTTTTCCTCCTCTTTAGTGTAGAAAGAGAAAATCTTTGCTAGAGATAGCAAATCTATGACCAAATCTCCTTGTTTTGGAATGGCCAGTGTAATTAAACTTGGCAAAATTCTCAATTTTATTTTTAATTTAATTTTGTGTGTGTGTGCTACTGGGGATCGAACACAGGGCCTTTGCACTGAGCTAAGTCCCTTCCCCTCCACTTCCTTCTCCTCCCCTCCCTTCCCTCTTTGTTTCTTTCTTGTAGGAAGTAGCTACATATATTGAAGATCACAGGCCGGTAGCAGGAACAGGGAGAAGGGTGGAGGTAAAGAGGGTTAAGAAAAAAGAGACTCGAGTGGGAAGGAGAAAGAAAAGGCCTGGAGTGTGAAAGGAAAAAAACTGGCTGTGTTGTAAAGGGGAAAAAAAGACATTTTAAAATAAAATTGGAACAGAATATCGCTGATTCGCTAAAGTGTCCAGGTGAGGGGGTTAAATCTATCTGTCCGCTTCGCTTTCAACTACAATTCAAGCACAAATGACATTCTCTATTTCTTAATAGGGGAAAAAAGTTTTGATGAAACAGGAAGCCTGGAATCCTAGGATGTCACCAGATAGTTTTATTTCCGGAATTGTATTTACCCTTAAGAAAGATGGCTGGTGGAATACGCATGCGCAGAAAGGACGATAGGGCGAGAGTTCCGGCGCTTCCAATTGCGCTCCGAGCAGTGATTGGCTGCCGGCAATCGGAAGTGCCTGTGTAGTGACGCTTTACTGGTACGTTCCCTGCGTCTTTCCTGTGCCCGGTTTCCAGCTGAAGTTTCTGCGTTTTCCGTGGTTACCATGGGGGAAGCCGAGAAGTTTCACTATATCTATAGTTGTGACCTGGACATCAACGTGCAGCTGAAGATGTAAGAGCACCCTGGCGACAGGGACAGAGGCTGCTAGGCAGGAGGACGGGGAGCAGGGAGGGCAGATGCTGACCTCCCCGAAAGCCGGGACTGGGGCGGCGGGAGCGCCGTGGACTGGGCGGCGGGGGAAGTGGATTGTGAGAGGGTCGGGGGGAAGAAGTTTGAGGTCTTGGGCGCTGTGAGAAACACAGCGTTATATGTAAGCTCGTAAGTTCCAGTGTCCCCGTGCACCCCCTCCCCCATAACATAGTTCCAGTGTTTGACAGTCTTAAGCGCAGTGTGCTTTTCAGCCTTTTGAGGGATGTCACTGTCTCATACTGCGCACGGAAGGATCTCGGTGAAGTCCTGCAGTAGATAAGGGGAGGACGATCTTTACTTTCGAAGAGTGAGAGGGTGGAACGGATTTCGCAGACAGGAGACAGACAAGTAGATGCTATGGTTGAAATTAAGATGAGGGTGTAGTAGTAACAACGCAAGAGTGGTAGAAGCGTAGGTTGACTCTGGCTCTTTTGACATTGGTAAAGCAGAGAAGTTGAGAGGGGGTGGTAGATGAGGATGCCGGTTGCAAAGGGGCCAAGACTATATGGGGAAGGAGTCTTGGCAGGAAAAACCGTGGGTACCACATTTAAAGTGAAGGCTTTTGTTTTGGTTTGGTTTGTTTGTTTTTTATTGGCGATACTGGGGCTTGAACTTAGGACCTTCGTACTGAGAGACATGTCCAGCCCTTTTTTATTTTGAGACAGTGTCTCACAAAGATGCTAAATGTCCCATTCTGGGTTCGAACTTGTGATCCTTCTGTCTCAGCCTCTCAGAGTGCTGAGAGCTAGGAGCATGCCATCTTGAAATGAGGGGGCTGGGGATCTAGCTCAGCAGCACAGGGCCTGCCTGGCAAGCTCAAGGCCATGAGTTCGATTTCTGGTACCAGAAAAAACAAACATCTTGAAATGAGGATAATGGAACTGAGGTAACAGACTTAGAAATTGTGTAACTTAGTAGGCGGATGGATAGGAAGTATTGTCCAAGACTCGTTAGTTATTAATCACAACATAATTCATAATCATTTATTACACATTTTTACTTGATATCAACAAATACATGTCAAAGGGCTATACGTCTGATGTATGTGGTAAATACATCAGTGCCAACAAGACCTGGTCGCTTCAGATGTACCAAAGCACTCTTCAGACAACTCGTTTGAAGCTGAGCTTCTCATTAGCTTCCTACTCTCTGATTTGCCTGTATTTTCTTTCATTCTGTTTTGGTGATTGTTAGCACGATCTATCAGGTTTGTCAGGACAGAAAACTGTGAGGCATAATGAGACATCTTACCTTCTCTGTTCAGTCACTTAATTTTCTTGAGTGTATTTGTTATATCTCTGTTCTGTGGTCCCCGACATCCAGTTTTAGTGTACCCTTTTCCTTTCTATTTTGATGGCAAGCCTTCTAACTTGGTCTGCTTGCTCTCTCATCTTGGTGGTATGTTCTTTTAGTATTACCAAAAGTATTGTAAAGATAGTCTGATTACATTGTTTTCTCAGTTCATTTCAGTTACCAGATTTTCAAAGTACCTTATATGTTAGACTCTGTACTGAATTTGGTGGCTGTTGATGTTCATTGTCAGGGCTCCTACTCATTCTCATCTTTAGTTTCTGCCCCATAGCTTTGCCTATATCAAACAATTTGCAGTTCTCCAGATGCATCATCCTGCCCGTTTACCTTTGTATATGCTTTTGGTTTTTTTTTAAAACAGTAATCAGGTGATTTTTCTTCAGTGTGATATGTGCTGTCTGCTTGGAGTAATCTCAGAGGATGAAGGCTGGACCTAGCCAGGTGACTTGCTGGGTAGAGATTGTGGAACAGCAAGATAATAGGGTTGTTTACAGGTGGTAATACCAAGAATATTCTTTGACATAGTGGCACATAATAAAATCTCACTCCCGTAATGGTGATAGAGGTAGTGGTGGTAGAAGTGTTCCCAGAACTGATTACTTCAAAGCAGAGATCAGAAACACTTGTATGGGTGGAGAAGGTTCTCCTTCCAGGCAGAGTCCCAGGGTAGTGCAGGGTATGATGTGAAGATCCAGATGGTATATGTTTTACATTCCTTTTGGAGCATCTTCCTATCCCTTTGCTCCCGTCTCGTATAGTGTTTATGCTTACTTCAGGTGTATGTCTGGGCTACTAGGCCCCTGCCCAAGGTCCGACTGGGTGCTTCTGAAACTGTCTTTCTATGGTAGCAAGAACATTGGCAGTGGGCTCCTTGCCCTCCTTGGTTTTTATTCATATCTGTTACTTATTTTGTGACCTTAAATAAAAAGTTTGATCTCTTAGTTTCCACTTCTCATTTTTAAAATGAGAATATCACAAATTAAGTAAGAAAGATTATGTCAAATGACTGGCGCAGTATCTGACATAATCTTGATGACCAAGAAATATTTCTCTTTATATATATATATTTATTTATTTTAAAAATAAAAGGAGGAAAACATTAACAGACAGACAACCTTTTACAAAATAGCAAAAGAACAGTACAGACAATACAGTTATAAACAAAGTGGTAGAAAATTAACAATGCTTGTTGTATTACATATTGATATCTTCAAAGTGATTTCTCA